ATTTCAAACAATAATAAACCAAATAAAACAAAAACAAAAATTCAGCTCCTCAAACAGTAACTCATACAAATACAAATCAAACAATTTCACATTTCTTTAACAATTTTACTTTGATCCTTTTTTTGAAGGAATTAATTGACCAAGTGTTTATATAATCATTTTCCAGATTATTCCATAGTCTTATACCGTTCACTGAAGTGCATCTGTCCTTCAAATTTGTTCAGATTGTAGGTTTAACAAACATTTAGTCCCATCAAATCATAGCAACTTTCCCTTTTAACAAAATTAGGTTGGATGTTTGAAGGTAACACATTTTTTGAGCTTTATACATAACCTGCAGAATATGATATTCAACCATCACATAAAATTTTAATTATTTTAATTGATGAAACAATGAACTAGATGGGTCATAGTAATGCTTTCTTGTGATAATTCTTATGGCTCTTTTTTGTAAAATAAAAATAGGATTAGTGATTGTTTTACATGCATTTCCCCAGACTTCTATACAATAAATCATATGTGGAAGAATTATTGCATTATATAGTGTAAATAGTGCTTTATCATTAAATAACTCCTTAACTTTACACAGTACTGCAATAGATTTTGGCATTTTTGTTCTTAAGTAATTTACATGATGTTTCCATGTCAGTTTTTCTTCAGTGATAACTCCCAAAAACTTCACCTCATTGACTCTCTCAACGCCTTCTACTCTAAATGGAACACCAGTTGTTTTCTTTCTATTACTAAATATCATGTAATTTTTTTATCCAAATTTAATAACTTATTATGATTAAACCAGTTTTGTAATTTTACAAATTCCATTTCCATCATTTCCAACATCTGTTTTATGTTCTTACCCAGGCAAAAAAATGTAGTGTCGTCTGCAAATAAAACACATTTAAACAACCCCGACAGTTACCAAGTCATTAATATATAGAAGAAACAACTTTGGTCCCAGTACAGAACCCTGTGGAACCCCACAACAATATCAAAAACAAAAAGAACACATTATGCCTCCTATTTGACACAAATATTATTTTGACATCTCTGATTTGCCAAATTTTTAAACCAATTTTATTTTCACTTTCATAGTTTTCTCTTTAACTACTTGTAATTTTAACTGCCCTGAGTGTTCGTAGAAATGTTTTTTACCAGCTTGGAGTCAAGATCCTGACGTTTCTGTAGACACCAAACATGTCTATGTTTAACTAAAAAAACTTACAGTAAATAAAGTAGAAAACCGAAGGTTTGGACTTAAAAGATGAATGAACCAATTGGCGGGCCAAACTTTGGTCACTCTGCCAGTTGAATAGCCCTGCCCTACAGACTTTGACCATATTTCAGTGACATTAATCAGCTACAATGTTTTTACTTCTAGGGTTTCATCAGTCCAGTTCCATAAAACTGACAGACCCTGTCTGAACCGGCACAGCTCCAGCAGCGGAGCGCTCTTCAACCCCAACAATGCCGCCGTTTCACGAATGACGGCACCAGTCCTCTCCACCTGCAGCACCCCCTCCAGCCACCGACGTCCACACATACCCATGCAGCAGCAGTTCCACCATCAGGGCTCCAGCTCGGTGGGAGTGCTGAGGAGGAGCCGGACCATGCACCATCGCCCTCCTCCGCAGGARTACCGCCGCCGGGCAAGCCACCCAGCGTCCCCTTCTTATTGTGCAGCGACGATGCACTACTGTGGAGGGGGCGCGCCACGAAGCGCCCTGCCACCTGGACTGCCAGAGGAAGGCGAGCTAGAGGCAGGCGTGATGGCTGCCCGTCCAGCAGGCATGGCTCTGTCACCCCAGCAACATCCAGCTGCTCTGGTGCACATGAGAGGTGCCAGCAACAACAACGAGCGGTGCTACGACAACAATGGACAGATTGCTCACAGTGACTGGTGGCACTCCCAAGAACGAGGCCTGATGCCTGAACCCATGATGACAGAACGGGAAAGGGAGCTGGAAAGGGAGCTGGAACAGAAAAGACAAATGCAAAAGGAGAAAGAGCTGGAGAGGGAGAGGGAGGCAAAGATCCAGGAGGAGAAAGAACGAGAGAGGCAGCAGGAGCTSGAGAGGAGCCGAGCCGGCGAGCAGCAGCCTCTTCTGAGTCACGTCCACCCTTCGCAGGCTGGAGACGTCAACGACACGTGGCCCAAGCCGGCCAGCCGTCAGTCGCACGGTGGTGGGGGAGGCAGAGGTCTTTACAGCACCCTGGAGGGCCACATGGGGGCAGGAACCGCGGCCGGATGCGACGCCAACAAGGGGCAAATGAAYGGGAATCCGAGCCCCAACCCCAGCTGTGGTCTACAGCCGAAGCTCAACCCGAGCTACAAGCCCAGCGCGGCGTCACGGATCACCAGGAGCCAGCTGCTCAGAGACCGGGCGTCTCAGCTGGCCGACGAGCGCAGCGGGATGAGCACCGACGAGGAGACCAGCACCGACATGCTGCGGGGTCGATACTGGAGCCGGACGGAGAGGAAGGAACACTTCCTGTTGGCTCGCGAGCAAAAGCAGCAGCAGCTGCTGGCCAGAGGCTTGACTGTACGAGACAGCATTGGCAGGGGAGGAGCCTCTTTCGGGGACGGCGCCGTGCTGGAGAGCCGAGGAGTTGGACCGTTTGCGGAGGGAAGGTGCAACACGGTCCTGGAACTGAGTCAAAGGAAGCTGAGTCGTCTGAGGAACAGAAAGCTGTTGGATGACTGGACGACAGTGGAGGAGCTGCTGACTCATGGGACCAGGCTGGACAACCAGGAGGACATGCTGTGTCCAAGCTCCCTGCTCACAGTTACCACTGTCTAACTGCAGGGAGATGATGTCTGAGTCTGTAAATTTAAACAATACAACTTTTTGTAAATGCTCCGTTTTTCCAGAATTCGGTGAGAAGGTGGATATCAGCTCAAACAGGCATCCAATAATAAAAATAAAAGCTGGTGGACAGAGATGATTCCAGTTTAACTTCTTAGAAACTCTGGTCTGTTTCAGGTGGATGTTTCCTCTGAAGGGCTTAAAAGTACAAAGTTTTTTTTTACTTTTATATTAAAGTCACAGTGTGTAGGATTTGTTGTTTTCAGCGACATCTAGTGGTTGAGTGGTTGAATCATCCTCCCTGGTCCTCCCCCCACCCCCCCGCTTCCAAA